CACTAGAAGCAATGAGTTATTAAAATTCACAATTCCTTAAGTCATCCTCATAAATGAGTATAAGGATGGTAATTCACATCTTCAACCTGTGTAAATAAATTAAATGCTAATGTTGTAAGCATTTTTTTCTTCAGGGAAAAGGCTAAAAAGAAAATAAAAATAAGCACTTTTACTTTCATATTTGTTACTTACTAATCCTGCCCAGCAAATATTTTTTAAAGGGTTGAAAGAGTACTCTTACCTCCAGTGAAGTTCAGCGGCATTGCCACGTCAACAGTATTTGTGACAGTTAATAAGAACTCTCCACTAATCAGTAGTGAAAGCTCTTCAAATCCAAGGCATGTGCCCCACACAGGAAAATAGTCTCCATCATGAAAACTCTTTGCAAGTAGAAAAAGAGAAAATTAAGTTTATTCAAACTTTTCAAAATAAAAATTAGCCATATCTTTTGTCATTACCAAACAGGCACCTGAGTTACACATGGATTTCTGAAGCATTCTCCAGGATCCATAAGTAGGCTATCACTTACTCTCTCTTCAGACGAAGCTCCCACACAGGCTGGAAAACATGAGCTGCGGACACACTGTATATCTTGACCCAAAGACTATAAAAGCCTACAGATTACTGACCTTAGCTATTAAAAGTTTGAAACAAGTATTTCAAAGGCTAAAAACACTTATTTAGGGAAATATTTAAGCGGGGATTGGTAAGATACTAGGGCTAGCAAGATTAATTTAAAAATCACTGTTAATAGTTGAGGAGAGAAACAGTAAGGGTTTGAGCTATGGTACAAAGGCAGTCCCACTGTGACCATTACAAAGGAGAAGTCAGAGGCTCAGAAGCTCTGCTTGGTAAATGAACATGGAGTCTACGGTAACTGTGAAGAAAGTTCTAATAGGATTGAATGAGTTGGGAAGAAGAACAGATTTCAAGAAGTGAGAATTAATAACACAGAAACAATGCCGCAAAAAAATAAAATAAAATAAGAGGACAGAGAGAGACATCAAAATGTCTACACCACATGAGGACATGGTTCACATTAACAAGCATCAAGAGAGGACCAGTCAGCAGGGCTCTGAAGGGTCTCTGGAAGCCCAGGATTAGATGAAGCACGTGGAAAACACTTTTATTTGGGTGCAGCCAAGAACAGGTGCCTCAAGGTTAAAGGTATGATGAGGCTAAGGGTAATTTTGAAGGGAGCATTACCATCTGCTTAAAACAAGAACTACTCTCACTAAAACTTACAAAACTTACAAAACTTACAAAAATCCATCTGGAATAACAAGCAATAACTGATATTTACCTGTATGGACAAGTCGTAAAATATTTTGGCCACTTTAGCATAATCTGAGCGCCTCAGGTCAACACTTCCTCCAGGGAAAAGGATTCTGAAACAACGTCACATAAATCAAATAGGGTGTATTTTGCCACCCCTGACCCATACACACACAGAAAACAATCTTTTTATTTTAAAACAATTTTTCTTATTACATATGCAATAAGATCCTTGAAGAAAATTAGAAAAACAAAAAAGAAATTATAAAATATTTACAATCCCAGCCATTCAGAAACTACAGCAGTTAACAACACTTTAGAGAATATTTTCCAAAAACCTCTTCAAAAAGTTTATTTGATGAAATAGAGTGTGGGAAAATTAAAAGTAAATAAGTAGGGGAGGGGCAAGAGTACACAGAGCTAGATATCAAAGACGGACAAAATTCCAGGTTTAGCCAGGTTTAAAAGAAGGTGATCTGTCATGCCAAATCAATTGCAGGTGGGTAGGACTTAGCTCACAAATAATTTAACTATAAAGAACAAGCTGGTCATAAAAAAGATATTTAAGCTGGAATTAAATTTCTCCAAGAACTTAATTCTTATCATCCTGAGTCTCTTCAGAAATACACATGGTATTAGAACATTTTTTTCAAGAAACATAATTACGATTCTACAAAAAGTCTAGGAAAAGGAGGCAATCAAAAATATTTGATATTCTTTTACACACTTATAAAGGTGAAATATAGAAAACTATTTTCATGTTTTTATATCAACTTTTAAAATTAAACTTTTAAATTTATAATTTATAGCAACGTCTTGAAAGAACCAAGGATATTCAAAAGAGGTAAGAAAAATGGTATTAAACATATTAAAATTTTGAAAATATTTAAATACAAGTTTGAGGTATGTGAAATATCACTTGTGAGATTGTTGTTATTCAAGAAATATATTCTGTTTCTTCCACGAGCTAGACTCAGGACTTGCCTAGAGAGACAAACATGAGTGGTTTTGCTGTTAGGAAGATCACAGTCTGGTAGAAAACATATAAGCATCTGTGTGGGAGAATATCTACCACAAACCCAAGCAGAAAATCCCACAATTAAAAGTGGCTTAGGGAAGACTCATTAGCGTTCTCTCTTTCCATTAACTCAGTATTTTTTAATTTTTATGTTTTGCATCCCAGGTCTCCAGCTTACAGACATTAACTTAGTATTTAAAAAGCTGCCTCTGATCAAATATGGTATGTCTAACCCCAAAGTCCTTTCATGCAGCAAAACCTGACTGTCCCTCCTATATGACAAACTCCTTAGGGCATGGCTCTGTCTTTTCATCTCTGTTATTCCCCCTGCAAAATACTATGGGGTCCAATGCATAATAGTGACTCAATAAAGGTGCTTTTGGAGTCACATTAGAATACAGCTCATTTTCTGGTGACACTCCGAGATATAAATAAGGCCCCCAATTTAACCCACTTTGGAGTGCAGCTTTCAGTGACTACATGAGAGAGAAAAGGGGCCTACAGGAGCAAGAATTAGTGGCAATGCAGAAAGCAAGTGAGGAAGATAGAAAATGGACTCATTTTGGTGGTTTGCATGAAGACATACTGATCAAATGGACAGGCTAGCTCCCAAAAGTATGTATTACTGTCTACACTGCTACTTGATTTCAGATTCCTCTCCAAACAGGAATGCAATTGGGGAGAGGGTGGGAAAAAAATGAAGTGATTCAAAAGGTCTATTTTTCAGGTTCTACTATTACATTCTAGCCTAGACTTAATGATCTTTGTCCATGCCAAAGTACCTTGCACACAGCACATACTGGGCATTGTAAATGTTTTACTAAATTGAAATGATTTTACAGTAAATATTTACTGAA